AAAAAAACAACAACTAGAAGATAGCCAGTCGTGGCACATAGAAGGTTTATGTCTGTGTGTGTCTTTGGTAACACTCAGCTTTGTAAAACTTACTGGCTTCCCTTAAATGACTCATAGAAGTTTCACATGAAAAGCATAATTCATGTGTTTGCGCCAAGAAATGTTATAACATGCTAAAGCAGGGCATCTCTATTACTCTTGTACCATTAGAAAAATAGTTGTGGCTATCATTCAGTCTGATAATTACTTGTCTTTAGCTTTGTTTTGGCTTTTGCATAGTCTGCATATATCTTGACCAGGGAGTGAAGGATGGGCATGTTACAGGTTTTAGGTGAATAAAATTTGTTTTTGGGTTGGTTTTTTTTTTGTTTGTTTGTGTTTTTTACAGCACTATCCATTTGATTAATCATTAAAAAACCAAAATGTTGAGTCAAAAGAAGCTGAAAAGCATCACAGACATGCTTTTCACAGACAGATCACTTGGTAGTGTAAAACAATTGATTAGTGCAGCTGTCAGCCTTTCAGGAAAAAAGTGCCACCATTTGGTGTACATCTAACATGCATAGTGATCCCTAAACTGGCCACTGTTTGTTTGCCTTATCTGTTGCCACTGGTTATGCTTTCATTTTTGTTTCATCTTGCTGATTAACTTGAGATTTTACTGGATTTATGTTATACTTGTCTGTTTTTTTCCTCAGTGCCTGAAGCAGTATGTGGAACTCCTGATTAAAGATGGCCTTGAAACTGCAATTAGCTGTCCGGACTCTGCCTGTCCTAAAAGAGGACACTTGCAAGAAAATGAGGTGCGTTTCCATTATTAGAACGTCTTAGTTCTGCATTGGACATGGGACCACTCAGTCACTCGTTTTCCATTTAGCAGTAGTCATTTTTTAAATTTCTACACAGGCGCAGCACTGTATGTGCAGATGTAGCAGAGTTAATGCACTTTGTGCAACTATTGAGTATATCGGTTAAACCTATATTTCTAAAACATCATTGTCAATTTAAAGCACCATCCTTAACTAAGACGTGCATTTCACTTCACTTTCATGTGTGTATTCAATTACAATGAGCAATCCTGCATGCCTTTTTCCGTAGCAGGTGTCACATTGAGGTCAAACTGCTCCTCCTTCAGGCAGTTTACCATAGGACGCAGCATAGTTTAGCACACAGCAGCATTCAGTTTCTAATTAGCGTCCCTGGCCCTTAATAGAACCAAAGCCACTTTAGCCGGTCAGGCACAGCATGCATCATCCCTTTCCATTCTTGTAATTCTCAAAGCCTGAATGTTTTTCAATGCCCATTAAATGAGTAACCATGTGTGGGCCTGCGTACGCACCTTGGCTGCACTTGGCAATCAATTTCTATTTTACTGTGGGGATGAGATTTAAGGCCCAAACAAATGGCAAGTTCAGGTTTTGTGGAATTTTTAATTATGACATTGTTCTGGAAATGAAACTCGCGTGGAGAATTTATAATTGCTTCTTGCAGTTTCTGTCTACAAATGTCCACACTGACCTGCTCATTTCACTCCCACTTCTCTTCTCCTCACTTCCTGCAGATTGAGTGCATGGTGGCCACAGAGATGATGCAGAGATACAAGAAACTTCAGTTTGAAAGGGGTGAGTCAGTACAAGGCAGCTTCAGTACGTCAGTGATCACTTCAGAGTTCACCAGTAGGCGCAGTATGGGCGATGACTATCAAACGGAGTCACATGGACCCGTCTGTCCTGCAGAGATACTACACACAAAAGGATGACAGTCTCATTTTGCATGTGGAGCTAAACTGTCGCTTGCTCTATCTAGACTTAATCATTTTACCCCTGTGGACATTTTCGCTATTGAGTTACACCAGGGGGTGTCTGTGGAAAACTGCTAGAATAGATTTGGCAAATCCTTCTTAGCCCCATAAATTTCACTCTTCAACACTGACAGGTGTTTTCAAGTTTTCTTTGCATACATTTTGTTATGTACAAAATGAAGAACAATTGGATTTCATTCTTGATTCAATTAAATTGAATTTCACTACAAATAGTCATTCAGTTAAGTAATATTCCTGTACTTTGTTTTGATATATTATAATTATATTGGTTTGGTTCTATAGTCAAGTCTTGAGCCAACACCTATATCTCAATATTTTACTCCATAATGGGAAATGGATACATTAGTTTATTGAAATGTGCAAAAATACATGGAAATACAGTAAGCAAAAAGCAATTTTGACAAGCTCCCGAACACCACTGGCTTAAATGCAGCCCCAAATCAAATGAAGAACCTCGATTGTGTTTCACAGCTGTAGACATTCACTGCTCAGACCTTCAGAAAACCTGGGGAGCTATTGTTAAAGACCTCTTTAAAGATTACATGAAAGTCTGGCTGCTTAGAAGCGAAGTCTAAAGAATTGAAGGGTGACTTAGTAGTGTACAGTAGTGTACAAGAGAGGGCAGTGTACTAAGCTATTAGCTAAGGCTAGCTAGCTTGGTTAGCAGGGGGCATCGATACAAACTGCATGGCTGGATGAAACTAACAGGTAATGTGCATTAAGGGATTGACCCACTTTTGCAGCCAGCTTCAACTGGCCACTGCAGGAACTACAGTTAATTGGCCTCTTTAGCCTTAGGGATCATCACCATTTGATCCCTTGTATTTTTGTTAAATTCCCATTGTCTCTTTCCCCCGTGTACTTTTAGTGTCAGCAGTTCATTTTCTAATAAATAGCTTGGATCTCAGAGCTGAAAACATGATGGCAGGTCTGTGTCGCTTTGCTTCACACTGTCAGTGTAGACATGCTAATCAGCAATATTTTAGTTCCATCCCTACAAGAGACAGCAGTGACCATGCTGTGCTATCACTCTTTGATGGTACTCACTCTGCAGGTTCTCCGCCTACACAGAGGCACAAACTATACACAGAACATGCAGATCACGCTTGCAGGAATAAATGCATATCCATAAAGACAAACACACATTTATTAACACAGAAGGGACCCTGTAAATTAATAAAAATCCTCAGAAAGAGCTGTTGATTCTGGATAAAAGCAGTGAGCCGTCTCATCAATGTCCCAGTCTAGTCAGGCAGAACAGTTTCTGTAACCGTTCCATATTTCTCAGGCTGAGCCAAAAGTGCAAGTGGAATGTGTGCTCATAGTTCTTGGCAGAGAGGCAAGGGGATGTAAGGACGGGATACAAGAGCAAGTGCATCATGCTATGTACTTAGAATTGGCAGAATCTGTTTTTACCACTTTTAAAAATATTCGAAAGAATTTTTGGAAGCCATGGAAACAAGTTACCAAATAATAGATGCAGTAACACAAGAAATAACTTTTTTTTTTAAACAAAAGAAACATTTCAGTATATAAGAATAAGAACTTTATTGATCCCAGAGGGAAATTCATGTCTAACATGACTCATCTGCTATTTGTATAAGAATTGAAAATGAAAATGAGTGAAAATGGTTTTTTCTCTTCCAGTACTGATGTTTTTTTGTTTGTTTGGTTGGTTTTTTTTTGTTGCATAAAGATAAAGTGCAGAGAGCATGATATCAAATTATAAGAAGTTTGCAGAGAGAAACATTATTCTTGAATACATGTATCATTATTTCACACGTAACAGGAAATCCCGGGGCATTAAAAAATCACCAAACAGCCAGAGAAGGTTCTAGTCTACTGCGCTACATCTTCAGAAATCTGCATCTGAAACTCATTAAATATTTTGGCTCAAATGAGCTAATAAGAGAGCCGGTGTTCATGACCTGGACCTTTTTTGTGTCGTCAGAGGTATTGCTGGACCCGTGCCGAACATGGTGCCCTTCGTCGACCTGCCAGGCGGTGTGCCAGCTAAAGGAAGCGGATTCTCCAGCCCTGCCCCAGCTGGTCCAATGTGCTGTATGTGCCCTCGAGTTCTGCTCAGCCTGCAAGGCCAACTGGCACCCCGGGCAGGCCTGCCAGGAGAACAACCTGCCCATTACGTCCTTCCTACCAGGAGAAAACAGGTGCTGCTTTCTACTTGTATCCACTCACTAGCTTTCACACTTTTAACATTTCATGGACAATAATCCAAAAAATACTTACAGGCTATGAGACATGAAATGAATTCTGAAACCTGTCCTTGTCCTTAAGCAGCGTCCTTAATGAAATCCATAATTATTAAGTCATTAATTATAATTAATTTTTTAATTTTTGCTCAAATTTTAACAGGCAATCATTTAAACATGAGCACTTCAGTAAAGTAATAACATTTTGGCATGTGATAGTGCAGCAGGTATAAGGCCTGCTAGAAATACTAGTTTTGTCAATGCTATGTTGCTGTCTTAGCCCATCTGAGTGAAGGTGAGAAAAACCTGGCAGGATTCAGTCAGTGTGTCTTTTTGCTGCCACTTTTTGCTTGAGCATCAGCCAACACTCAAGCACATATTTTGTAGGTAGAGATAAAACAATCTGCTTCAACTAACCTGCAGTAAGGCTGGCTGAAATAGATTAATCATTAATTTTAAGGGTGCAGCATCTGTCTCCTAAGGTAGAACAGACTTGCTCAGAGATGCATGCAGCTGACCCATTTCTTTGTCTTATCCTCTTACCCTGGAAATGCCATTAGCTCTGCAGAACCTTCTGCTGTCTGCGCAAGAGCTCAGAGGCCACACTGGAGAAGAGGGTTCATAGTTGTAAAGAGCCTTGGTGTTTGAATTACATTTGTTCACCATAAAGATATCTCTAAAAGCATCATTTTCCCTGTGTTTGTTTGTTTTTTTTGTTTGTTTTTGTTTGTTTTTTTTGTTCATTTTGGCTACGCTTATGTTAAACATTAATCTCTCTGCCTGTCACAAGATTATGGTTTCTACAAGTCGTACAAGTGTTTTTCTTTCATGATGCAGAAGATTTTTTTTTTTAACACAGTAGAATTTGCTAAACTTGGGAGAGACAAAAACAAGTCATGCTCTAAATACAGTTCAGTGTTTTCTAGTTTCTAGCTAAAGTGGTGGAGGTGTTGAGACTGTATTGTGTTTCACTCAAACGAACAGTATGACAGATTCATGGAGACCGGCCTGAAAAATCAATGGGCCTGTTTGCTGTCTTCGGATAATTCGCAAAATGACAGAGCGCTGTTCATGCACAGGTTGTCGGAGTCAGCTGTTTAGAAATAATGGGAGAAATGGATACAGATAACCTGACACCGAGAGGACAGGAGAATGTTAGTCTGGGGTTGAGTTCAAGGTCATTTTAGTGACTGGTGACACCTACATATGTGTTTATTTAGATGAATCTGATTTAGAACTACATAAAATCCTGTTATGCCACATAATATGAATATTGAATTGAACACTTAACTTGCGTCTCTTCTCCTCAGCTCTTTTTATAAAAACGAAGAGGATGATGCACCAATCAAGCGCTGTCCTAAATGTAAAGTTTACATTGAGAGGGACGAGGGCTGTGCACAGATGATGTGCAAGAACTGCAAGCATGCCTTCTGCTGGTACTGTCTGGAGTCCCTGGATGTGAGTGGCATCTTTATTCCTCATCCTGTAACGTATTTTCACACTGCTAATTATTTGACTCCATGGAACAACAATATCTCTAATTATCAGAAAATTGTAGCTTTACATTAAGAGTATTTGCAATTTTCATTATTTTGACTGTTCAAAGCGACAGCCTCAGCTGAACTCATATAACTTTGGTGATTAATGAGCTGTGGTGCCCTTATATAATCCTAATTGTGTGAGCATACAGGCGACCGTGCTCCGCAAGTCACTTAAAAAGCAATTTTCTCTGAACGCCCACCCGTATCATTCAGATAGCTGATGGTCAAGTCTTTATCTGTATGTGTGTCATGTGCTAGGATGACTTTCTCCTGATCCACTATGACAAAGGGCCCTGTCGAAACAAACTGGGGCACTCCAGGGCGTCCGTTATCTGGCACAGAACACAGGTGAGAACACCCACCTCCCCATCCGCAAGTCACACTCGGCAACCCACCCCTCCCCCTCTGCCTCCCCCTCTCTTAGCCACGCTGCAGCATGTGGCCTCACACGTGCTCCCTGGCTCTGCTTCTGTCTCTCCTTCGGTGCACACATTCACATACAGTGATGGGCTCGTATTATGGTAACAGCACAAAAGCAAAAGAACAACTCAATCCACATGCAGCGACAAGTGTCTAGTGGTCAGTGTCCTGCTGTTTAAGGCTTTAAAAAAAAAAAAAAGTTTACATAACCAAGGTCTCTCTTTACCTGGCGATAATCCAATAAAGCTACACATTGCATATAAAGGATTAGATTTCCTCATGATACAACATATTGAAGTGCTTAATTCATAGACTGAGCTCCCAAATGCCCTCTCAGTATCACTTATTAGCCAAAAAATCTATTCATAGCTTAGCACATCCCTTTGTCCAGCATATTTGCTATTTTCCCTGTATTAGCATACACATTGGCATCTGTTGCCTAGTAGGGCAGGCTGAGTCATATGATTACAGTTCAGCTGGTGGAGGCCAGCTATAGCTTCAGTGTTGTATGTGTCTCTTTTCTCTGTCTCGCTCTCCTCATTTCACACCCGTTTGGGCTTTCACATATATGCAAGCCTCCCTTTCGCTTGCTTTATAAAGCCAAGGTGTATCAGAGCAAAGCATCTTCTGTTGTAGCCACGTACCATCATTCTGAAGCAATGTCACATGCTATGCTTCAAAGTGCCACAACGATCTGTTAATAAGAAGACCCTGTACTTGATACTTTTTGTTTGTTTTTCACTACACAAAGCCTTTTCGCTGAAAAAATAACAGTTAATGCATTAGCCAACGCTCAGTTAATGCAGGGTTTTTTTTTGTTGTTGTTGTTGTTATTTATTTTAAAAGAACCCTGCATGCAAGCAATCTTGCAAAATATATTTTCCCAAATAAACTGGTGGAAGAAAAAACCCATTGTGCTATTATAAGTCACTGTTGCATGTGACAGCCGATTATGTATTCTATCATGCTGTGTGAATTTCCTGGAGTTTGGCTCCCCCATGTGGTGGATTACTTAAGTTGCCTGGCTACCAACAAAACAAAGCTGGATTTTACCAACATGTAACTCTACAGTTCTTAAATCTATAACTGTGTTGATAACTCCTAAAAACCATCTCCTTAGTAGAACACTTGCATAACTTCCACACAAAATGGTTCTGCTGGAAAATAAGCATCCTTTGTGCCACTTGATTGGAGAAGTACACAATTATGTAACTGAATGTGTGACTTTGCTATGTACAGTCTCACTATGTGACAAATATCATGATGTCCTTAGATTTTTATTTTTTTGTGGGAATAAGAACATTTTACTAAAGGCTTTCTGTCTTTATGTACTGCAGTATAGAACTTATTTTAATGATATAAAATGGCATCTCCACTGTTTGATATCCTTTTTTCCCCTCTGAGTAAAAAAAAAAGAAGTGAAGTGAAGGGCTTGCCCAATTATGAAAATATAGATTGTAAAACTGGAATAAAACCGATCATTCTTAACCTGTTGAAAAAAAAAAAAAGATCATTTTAAAGCACTTGGTGACATCCACTGGTGAACATGTGTTACTGCAGAAATCGTGCTCATAGTTTGGGACACTTGGGAAACAGAATATGCACAGTTGCTCAAAAAAATATCGGTAACTTATATGACACATACTGAAGAGAAAATCAGCAATAAAACTTTCAGAAATGACCTTGAAAGCTGTTAACGCTACTTGAATTGCAGGATTAATAGATTAAATGCATGGCTGCTTGTATGTTTAAAAGAGTGCTGCATTTATTTAAATAATGTTTTTTTTTTTGTTGTTGTTGTTTTATTTAATGTCTCGCTGCTGTGTCCCTGCAGGTTGTGGGAATCTTTGCTGGCTTTGGCCTTCTCCTGCTGGTTGCCTCTCCCTTCCTCCTCCTGGCCACTCCCATCGTACTCTGCTGCAAGTGCAAGTGCAGCAAAGGCGATGATGACCCATTGCCAACCTAAAAAACACCATCTGAGTTGGCACAGGGAGCCGCTTCAAGGATGGGCCCATCTATTTTTGTCCTTTTTCACCCCTTTTACATTTTTTTTTTCCCCATCCCACCAGCTTTGAAAGCTTTCTTCTGTTTTGGGCTCAACCTGCACCAGCCCAAGCCGCTTGGGGATCCATTGCTCTGCATGAGGGAGGCATGGCAGAAAAGCGACCCTACATGTTTATCTCAAGGGAGAGAGGTGCAGGGGTCAAAGGTTAGTGGACATGAGACTCGTTGAGGGACTACTGTGTCCAAATGTATGAGAAGTTGCCAGACTGGGGACATGGAGGATGACTGCACCACTTCAGCTGCCCCCCCTCCCCCCTCTCCTCTCCTGAGGTGTGGGTTAATTTGTTGTTGCACTTTGATGGGTAATTGCAAGTGAAGGAGGGGGAAAAAAATCAACATTAAGAAACGATTTTTTTTTCTTTATTATTATTCTTGTATGGACCATGTCATGCAGGAGCCACCTTAGAAAGAACTCTTACTTCATCACTCTGTTTTGTCGGTTTGTTATGCGCAACAAAAGCTTTTCCCTCACCACCACACTCGATGTAGCTCTACAGATTCAGTCAGTAGCATAATAGAGTTACACCACGGATGTTTGGTGTTCACTCGATTTGCGCACAGAACATGATTTCTTTGTCATGTCTGCGACTGAGGTAGAGATGGGAGGCTAGCGTCACTCTCAGCTCAGTGTATAGCACGTCCTCTTGATGATGTCAATGTTTTATAATCCTGCGCTTTTAATAGAACTGTGCTCAAAGTAGTGTCTATGTGTTGTACTTTACAGTGTTTTTCCAACTGTTAGGCAAACATATTAAAGGGGACTGCCTCTCAAATACATTAAAAGGAAAAAAAAACAGTTTTTCCTGTGATAAAATGATAATCGCGTCTTGTTTTGGTTAACTATCACCTTACTTTCTTTTACTGTCTTTGCATTCTACATTAAATTCACAAATGTCACAAATTGAGCGGCACTCCCCTTTAGCATTAAATTAAACTCTATCAAAGGACCTCGTATCCACGTGCTGTGGAGTTGTTTTAATTTAATTCACTAAAAGAGATGTCACTCCTGTATTTCTCAGTCCCTAGGCGGCAGTCTAGCCAAATAGAAATGAATGGCCTTAAATTAAAAGTAGTGAAAATCAGGCAAGCCCCCCATGCACTAAAAGAACAAGTCAGATCCAAATGATCCCAGGGAAAGCATGTTTTAAGGACTAGTCAGTGAAGCCCTTTATATCCAGACGATTCTATGATGTCATTCATATGCCACTCTGTTAATAGCCATACTGTTAAAAAAAGAAAAACAAAAAAACCGAGGATATCTCTCTCTACATATAATATAAACAATTGTTTTCAAATGGTGTTCTTTGTGATCTAGGCCCTGTATTTTCTGAGCCTCTTTAAGCAGGAGAGCGATCAATCCAGCTATGGTTGTGAATGATCTCAAGATCAACTCAGATCTCCCACTTTTTGAGTCTTAACAAATACCCGCTGGCTCAAACTGCAAACTTGCATATGTTAGTGGTCCGAGTGTCTGTTTTGTTTTGTTGGTAGTTAGACCTCCAACAAAAAGCAGCTATTCCTTGCAGGAATGTCAGAAAAGCCTATAGAATAAATTTAAAAAGCATGTTAACTCTTTGGGCACATGAATATCAAGCTGCTCTATACTATATCACTTTATCTATGCAAGTTTGTGCATTACCGTAATGATAAGGTTATTGATTGGCCATGATTAATTGTATGGAAGCATTGTGTAATGAGAGCTGCAGAAGGTCAGCATATCGTCGCTTTAATTTAATCAGGGAATCATCTGGAAAATATCCATTTTATGATCATTATATACAGTGCATTGGGTTTTTTTGTTTGGTTTTTTTGTCCTTAGGCTAGTTTTAAGGTTTCCAGAGAAGAAATTTGTCTTCTCTGGAAACCTAAAGTTGCAGTCTTCAGAAAGAAGTTGCAGTCTTTCTGAAGACTGCAACTTCTTTGCAGTCTTCAGAAAAATGAAATTACCTTTTTACAAAAACAATCTTACCTGGTTATAATCACGGTACGCCAACTGTCAGTTCGGAGGTTTTTCAGACCAGGACATAATAAAAGAAAATATTTGGTCCTCTGGGTCCAGTGGAGGAATATTGGCATGCTTATTTTTCAGTGTTGCTTTAATTCATTTAGGTTTTTGTGCAATAATCTATGCACAGCTCTCTTAAAGTCTCATCACGGTATTTCAGTTGGGTTGATGTCTGGATTTTGACTGTGTCATTGCAACACCTTGATTTGCCGTCCCACCCCACCCTTTTCCCCCCCTCTTTTCAGCCATTCTGTTGTGTTTTGGATAATTGCCCTGGTCAGCTATGGACAGGTGTTCTCACATTTAACTCTAGAATACTTTGGCTTACAGATGAGTGCATGGTCAACTCAAAGATTGCAAGTTGTCCTGTGGCTCGAAATCAAGCCCCAATCATCACCCCTCTATCACCGTGCTTGATAGCTGGTCTGAGGGGTCTGTATTGATTTGTTGAAAACCAAACACAGCATAAGTGGCATTAGGCTTTATAGCCTAACGTCTCCACTTTGGTCGCATCTATCCAAAGGATGTTGTTCCAGAAGCCTTGCAAGTTGTTCAGATTCAGCTTTGCAAACCTAAGGAGTCCTTTATAGAGAGAAGAGACGTTGTCCTGGTAACACTTCCAAACAAGCCATACTTGTTTGTTTTTCTCTTTTTTCTAATTGTACTGTCATCTTTAACATTTAATATCCTAACTGAGGCCTGGAGAGTCTTGAGATGTAGTTATTGGGTTTTTGCAGTTAGCACTGTTCCCTCACAGCGGTTGCCTAACAGCAAGAAGGTGCTGAGTTCGACTCCACCATCTAGCCTTAACCATCTCCCTTTCTCCAGGGAGTTTGAGAGAACCCACGCAGACACAGGAAGAACATGCAGAGTACTCCAGCTTCCTCCCACAGTCCAAAGACCTGCAGTTAGAGGAGTTAGGTTAACTGGTGAGTCTAAATTGCCCATAGGTGTTAATGTGAGTAGTGGTTGCCTGTCTCTCTGCGTTAGCCCTACGACAGACTGACGACCTGTCCAGTGTGTACCCCGCCTCTCACCCTATGATAGCTGGGATATTCTCCAGCCCCCCACAACCCCAGTAAGGATAGAAGAGAGTAGAAGAGAATGATTGGATGGATGTGAAAAATCTTTCACTGTAAAATAGTTTGGAGAAGGCCTTCCACGATTGATGGGCAGCAGCGGTCGCTCTTTAAGATCATTGCCGAGGTCTTCCCTCATTAAAAGCCACCTGAGTGCTCCAGACCAGCAAACCGACGCCTGCTTTTATAGAGCTGGTCACACTAGCACATGATCAGTTAAACAAGTGCATTTGATTAGCAGCATCTGGCTGCTATTGTCCCCTCTTATTTCCTATGGAAGCAGTAAGTCTGCACTGAAGTTTTTCACCCACGGTTTCTGCATTTTATCTCAGTTTTTGTTAAATAAATATTGAAGCAGTGTGACACATGTTTTGTTAATCATCTGAGGTGGTATTTACCCAATTTAAGACCTTCTAAAGACCAACGGATTTTCTTTTATTATGTCCCAACACGTAAAGCCTGAAATTGAAAGAGAGTGCTTTTTTTTTTTTTTTTTTTTTTGTTTCTTTGTTTCTTTACCAAAACTGTAAGTCAGTTTAGGAAAAAAGTAGAAACCTTTCAGTTTAAAATGGAGACATTTAATTTATACTCTCATAGCACCTGCATGTCTTCGGAGTGTGGCAAGAAACCAGAGCACCTGAAGAAAAACCACACAGGCGCAGAAGGAAAAACATGTGAACTCCACACAGAAAAGACCAGAGTTGAACATCAGGTTCAAGCTTTGAGGCGACAGTGCTAACCACTGTGCCAACCTGTCATAGCCATTCCAGTGTTTTAATAAGCCATTCGGTTTCTCGCTTCCCTTCTGGTGCAATTCATCAGTGTTCATGTAGCATTTCATTAAAAGTGTGGCTACAGTTGCCAATAAAGGGGTTAACAAGAGTAGCTAATACTGTATAAGCTAAACAGTAGCTGATCACCTGCACCTCCCACCAGTTTTCACCTGTTTTTAACTCTTATATAAAATTTTAGAAAAAACATTGTTATTATTAGTAGCCTTCAGGTTTGAATGCGTTACCTGTAGCTTGGGTTGCTTTCATTGGCCTTGCCTTCTGTAGGAGCATGATCATTTGACACTGAATTCGGTTAAAGTTACTACCTTTCAAAGCAACATTTCTTCGCTGCAAATCATTTAAATTGCTGAAACTCTCATTGTTTTAATGACAATCGTGCCAAGCAGATTTCCCAGAAGGCAAAAGGAAGCTGAGCTGTGTGTGCATTTTGATCACGTCTTTGTAATGTATTAACAGTTTTTACAGGGTTGAAATGATTGCTTCTTTATGTAAGCGCTGCACTGTATATTATGGATTTTATGGTTTTACTTCTTCTTGCTATGATCTGTGACGTGCGTGATATGGTGCCTGCTGTGTTTTACTGGAAGAGTTTAGCAGCTAAAATGAACTCTATGGAAAAGTCGATGCAGATGATCACAACTGTTTGTTTGGTTTGTTAAATTTGTTTTTTAGGGGTTTTAACAGTTTGAGGAACAGCGGGAGGGGGCGGATACCACTAGTAAACATTTAAGTCCAAAAACTAAAAGTCCATCAAATTCTTGAAAGGCACAAAGTAACAAATCATGGACACTTTGTTTCTTTTCTTTTTCAAACTCAACATTCTTCTTTACCAATGTCTGCTGGCATTAATAAACAGGTAGATACTGAATTATGCAACAAACATAAGGGCAGCATAATTACTTGTTTTTTCAGGGCTCGACATAAAGGCCTACAGAGTACAACCACTTCACGCAGATGATTCATCAGCACAGGTGCTGGAGAATAGGATGACCTGAGTAAGGGCTTGCTTCTCATTACTTGGGTCCCTGAATGGAAAGAGTATTTTACAAAGGCTCAAAATCAACTTTGTAACTATCAGATCAAGTTTGGTTACGAGCAGCAGTCTATATTTTATAACTTGTTGTGTCAAGAGATGAAGCTGCATGAGTTTTCTTTGACTTCTACATGGTAAATATAATATTGTAGCCTCTAAAGAGCTTTCATATGGTGGCACTGATAAAGTCGTCATCCTGTTTTGGGTTTTTTTTGTTGTTTTTTTTTCTTCTTTCGTTTAGAAAATGCACTTTGATGTTCAGCCATAAAATATGTTGGTCAGCCTTCCTATATTTAGTAGATGGCCTTCATGTGTCTGTTACTTTTTTCTTTTTTTGATATATTTTATGTTTTGTACACTTGTTACATCAGTTTGTGTATTTGTATTATCCGTTTATATAGAGGGATTTTTCGCCCCTTTATTGGTCGCATATTAATTATAATGAGTTACAATTATCGGTCACTCCCGTAGGTGGGTTATTTTCAAAGAAACTGCTTTGCATACACAGGACTATGAGAAAACAATGTCTCTAGTTCACTGAGTAATTAAAGGTTAAATGATAACAAAGCTATGACCATTGTAAAATTGCATTAAATCCATTCTGTACAACTTTAGAATTGGCATCTTAATATATCTACAGTTCCACTAACACTGTGACACCAGGTATTAAAGGTTGTTGTTTTCGTGATTGTGTCCTCTTCTTTCACTGATGCCAGTGGTTCTCAAACTTGAGCTGCTTACAAATAGGTGAAAAATGTAACCTAGAGACGTCTTTTACAGTTGTGATTAATTTCATTTCGTATTTAAGTGTGGCATGCAGGGGAAATGAATCTCTATGGAAGCCCATTTCCGCCACTTAAAAAAAAAAAAAAAAAAAAACATCCATAACTCGAAATTTTGAGTTAATAAGTTGACATTTCGAGTTAGCGCTGCCAATCAGTCATTTCCTTGTTACCCAGAAGCTGAAGCCCTCAGGTACAAATGCTACAGCTAAGCTATCGGCATTACATCCAGTCATGAATGCACAGATTGCAGAGTATTTTCAGCGTGACTTCAAAAATGATGAAATCCTTGTGTTATTAGCTGAATCACATGGCCTTACTATCAGCAAACGTACTCGCAAAATCGCCAATTTGTTGCGATCCGGTTTTGAGTGCGCGTTACTCTGCGCCATATGCTTCCGGGTAACAAGAAAGTGACCTCATTACTGATTGGCAGAGCTAACTCGAAATTTCAAGTTATTAATTTAAAATTTTGAGAAAAGTTTCTTGTAATTTCACGTTATGTTTAGAAATTTCGAGTTATGGATACTTGTTTTTTGGTTTTGGTTTTTTTTTTTTAGTGGCAGAAACGGGCTTCCATAAATCTCTTAACATGTCTCAAAGAAGCCTTTTGGCTCATGCAATTGTCAAATAGCTCCCTCTAGTGTTCCAAATGTGTAAGTTTCTATTAAGAGATACCTGAAGTCCAAAGTGACTTAAAGAGAGAAGAGAGTAACAGATCTGACAAAAAGCTAATTTTGTCACCTTTCACAGGTTTATTTTCTTTTCTTTAATTTATTCTAACCCTCCTGTCTGGTTCATTTAATAACTTGTATAAAAAATGACTGAATCAAATAGAGAATAATATTTCGATTAGTCCTTATTTAACTTGCACCAAGCATCTTTCCTTCTTATTCACTGCGGCTCTTTCTGTTCCACTGCATCTCTTTGTGTTCATCAAAGATGTATCGGCCTTTTGTTAAGGTCTGCCAAAGAACAGGTTGTTCTCTCCTTCTCTCTTCCTTTGTTTCTATTTCCTGCCAGATGCTGGATCGGGAGCATTAACAAGACAACCCTGAAAATGAAAGTGCAAACGCTCGGTGATATATCATCCCTCACCAGCTGTTCTCTGTTTGGAAGTCGCTACACCAATCACTAGGCAGGACCACAGGAAGTTGCCATCTGTGGGCACCATGGTGACAAGGTTTGTGGATGGGCGCTGAAGCTGATGTGTTATCTGGAGCAAATGAAGTATGATGCAGGGAGAGAGTGCCAGGAGGTGCGGGGATGGACGGAGAGACGGAGATGAGTGTATCACCTGCGAGACAAAGAGCTGAACCTCAGAGAAACTGGAAACCGAGAGCCAAGCCCCGGCACTGAAAGAGGGGCTGGATGGGAAGAGAAGAGACGAGGCCTTTGCACCTGCTCTGTTACAGAACACAAGATTCTGCTATCACACGTGTGTTGGCTGCCGGCCCATCAGGCTGGTCTGTTCTGGCTTTACCTTCCAACACTCTTCTGCCAAGTCGTCATCCTGCTCCCCATCAACACCCCCCTCATCTGCTGCTCTGTACTTACAATATCAACAATGCTCTTAAGCTTTAAGCTTTCAAAATTACTGCAAGTGAGAATTGAAAGTCTTAAAATAGTCAGAAGCCCTTTATTTACTTTTTAATTTAAACTGAATATACAATGCATGTGAAGCTAGTGTGTCTAATGCATGAAATACAAATTGATCTTAACGGTGCTTTGCATGATCTGTCTGCTCGACCTGTTAGTAGTTGAATATTCAGAGCAGGGACTCAAAATCTTCTGGACTTCGATTCCCAGTCACTGAAGCAACAGTTCAAGTCTTTAAACTACTAACACTTCAGCAGATTTTACCTTATCAAACAGCTTTATTTTTGCATGATTTATGTCATGACCTCATGTAGAGCTATTGACAAATTGGGAACCACTCATGTGAGAGCAGAAAAGACAGATTTAAAGACCGCAGTAAAACATACACACTGATTTTTACTGACATTAATTGTTATCGTGAATGTTAATGTCTGAATTAGTATTTACATTAATAAAAGTGTATAATCAGTTCTACTGTTAAACTTATGACATCACTAGAAATACCTCTGTTTCATATTGTCTGATACATTTTCCATTTTTTACATACATGAATCATTTTCTCTACCAAATATTAGAGAGTGTTTTGGTCAGTGTGTTTA